CCTTCTTTCTCTCTGTTTCTTTTTTTTTGCATATCCTGCCTGGCTCTAATCTGCTTAGTCATTGGTCAGTTCAGTTTTATTTATCAACCACTAAAAGCAACACATATTCACAACATATAGAAGGACATCCTACATCAACCTTTAATGTAGGGCAAGTAACCTTTGGATAAGGTAAGGAAAGTTTGCCCCAAATAGAAATTGAGGTTTTGGGAAGCTCAGACCTCACAGTGAGAAAGATCCATTACCTTAAGTGATAAGGTGGAATTAATATGGGTTCTTCTCAGTCCTCTGAGACAATGCATTTTCTAGAGCATGGGAATGGTTTTGTCCAGTGTGCCTTTGTGCACTGTGAACCTGGAGAGCCAACTACTGATCATGGAGAAATTGTGGATCTTCTGGCTACTCTATGACAGGTTAGTGAAACTTGGCCTTTGTTCCTCACTGGCAATAAGAATGCAGTGCAACAGAAAGTACATGGGGAAGCCACAGATATCCTGGTCAGGCAGCTCATGTTTGAAGGAGCCACCAATGTGTAGAGCTGCCACAGCTGGCTGGCGAATAAAGACTTTCCATTGTCTTAAACCCATGTCTGAGCAGTATTCTCTGGTGAATACCCCACAATATTTCTGGAGGCCCCACCAAGATCTCAGAGAATGAACTTTGAACACCAGGAGTCTCGAAGCCTTTTGAAGTGAGGAAGGGTGCAATGATCAGGGGACTCCTAGGAGATGCACAACCTTAGATGTTTCAGGTCCACAGGGCTCCTTTTGGTCAATCGAAGCCTAATGCATTGGAGGGGTCTGTCACCTCCACACCAAAAGGAAATAAATTAGAAAGTCATCTGGTTTGTCACCTCTGAAGGTAAGGCTGGTTAATATGCCTTCTGTCTGTGCAAGGGTAGTAGTTTTTGGTCAACCCAAACAGCATGTACCAGTTCAAAGAGCCTGCCCTGCTGACTGTCATAGGTGTGAATTACTTTTGTCACATCTAGCTAAGCAAGTAAAAATTCCCCTTAGGATTTAATTAAAATATTTTTATTATATTTTATTTATCTCCTCTCATGTATATAGGTGGTGGGTGTGTAAGGCATAGCCCACATGTTTTCTCCTGTTGAAGGCTGGGTTGATCATCTGAGGCTTTTCCTAAGGCCCTGATGTTTGGGGGAAGGAACATAGCTCCTTCTCTAAACCAAGAATATGCTTGGCAGAGCCACCAATCATCTGGGGCCAGGGCCTTGGTGGCTTATCCCTGAGGCCTTGATATAATCAGGAATATGCTGCTTGACAGACCCCGCAATGGCCTGGGGCCAGCTCTTCCCACCAGATGGGTCTATGGTTATCAGTCCCAAGGCTGCTCTGTGTTCTGGTCTGTTATGCTCTTGAGATACCCTGTGTTCTTTTGTGGCATTGTTTGATTAGCTTCTTGCTGAGTTTACCCCATTTCTCCCCTTTAAGTATATAAGATGCTATACTTTTTTGCAGGGATGGTTCAAGACAGGGTTTCTCTGTGCAGCTCTGGCTGTTTTGAAACTTGATCTGTAGACCAGCCTGGCCTTGAACTCAGAGAGCCACCTGCCTTCTGAGTTCTGGGACTAAAGGTGCATGCCACCATGTCCAACAATGCTTTTCAATAAGTTTGTTTGGCATAAAACATAGATTATGCAAGACTTCCAGACCCCAGAATTTATTTATCTTCTCTGTCTTCTCTCTTTTCTATAATTTCATCTTCTGGCACCTCCTCTTATGATCCAGTAACTAAACAATGACCTGAAGGTTCAGGTCATACTGGCACACCTAAACAAGGGTACCTGAGTACAGAAGAAAGACTATATATATGTATGTAATACTTATTATATTATATAATATGTATATATATTTCACACACATATATGTATGCATATATACATACATATCAGCAAAATAGGAGAAGTCATGGCAGAAAGACTGCCTGAAAAAAGAGATGAAGAAGAATCAGCAGTAAAACATGGGACAGCTAAATTCTAAAGAGCACTTTCCTGCCTTTAGATGCTTTGTTTGCTTCTGCACACTAGTTCTTAGAATGAATTGCTTAAGAACTTAAAAAAATTCTTTATTTTCATTTTTAAAATAAGCCCTTGGTCCCCTGATAAGGTTCTTGTAAATTTAAAGGCATGTGAACATTTGGTAAAAAAATTTAAAGAAAATATATCACCTATGAGGGCCAAATAAGTTTCCTATTGATATATTTGCACTATGAAATTGGATTTAACTTAGATCCACGGGATAAAATTGATTAAATGTAGTAATTGTAGTTCAACCTGCCCCCCTCATATTTCTGGCCACCCCCACACTGGGGTGGGGCAGCACGACAAAAGACAAAACAATAAAAAAACATAGATAAAAGATTCTGAAGACAAAAAGTGACACCAGTACTTAAGTTACCTTTGCTTCACGATGTCACAAGAAAAAGGTTTCTTGTGATACCTTTATGAAAATCAAACACACACACACACACACACACACACACACACACAATGGCTTCTACTAGTTTAGCTGAGCCTAATGTCCCTACTACAGCAGGGTATTTTACAGATGAAATAGAGAAAAGGCAAAAGAAAACAACAAAACCACAGATCACAGCTGCAGTAGCTGCACAGAACTGGAGGCCTTGCTGGTCAGTGGCTGCACTGGCTCCGGAAAGTGAGCTGAACCACGAGAAAGGAAGGAAGCTTGTGGGTGTGTGCTTTTTAAAGATGACCAGAGGAGTAATGGTGGCAGTGGAAACTACTGGCAGAAAGCCTGGAGCGCCGCCCCAGGCTGCTTCCTTAAGACACTGCAGCCCAGCCCTAGACCTGCCCACCGCGGCCGCACTTCAGCAGCCCGGGAGCCACAGTCTTGACTCAGAGTAGGCGGGGCAAAAATGCCAGGAGGGACAGGCAGGAACTTCCTCAGACAACTTCATAACGACTTAAGTCCTAAAATATTTCTCACCTTCAAGTCCTTTTCTAGTTCCATTCCTGCTCTCCACTTAATTTCTACACATCAGGCTTTACTAGCCCAAACTTCTAATGCTAAACACTCTCTTGGATGCAAATAGGGCTAGTGAGCTCTGCAATCAAAACAAAGCAGCTGCTGCTGTCAAAATGACCTGTGCTCTTTAAGCCAAAAAGCGACTTTAGAATACGAGATTTGGCCCTCCCATTTCAGATTTAAACATGCCTTTTCTCCATGTGTCCTTTAAAGCCCTCTCCTGGGTCAGACCATCAGGGACACCTCTGGCTCGGTGACGGGAAAGGGAGAACAGAACAGCCTAGGAGATGAATACAAACAATAAAGGCTAAAACCGAGCGGGTAATATTTCCTTAGAGACTTGAAAAATCTTCTCTTTCCTCTCTTCAGCCACACTGTCAACTACCTAGGAGCTCAGCTTCTTTGAGGTAAAAAGACTTGTTTTATTTTAAGTTTAAAAGTTTTTACGTGATACATAACAGTAACATAGCAATTTAAAAAACTAAAACTTTAAGATTGACAACTTTCAACAATAACAAAAAAATAGTTACAATTGCCAGTGGCTGTGGTTCACACATTTTATCACAACACAGAGGCAGGCAGATATCTCAGTTCAAGGACAACCTGGTCTACAGAGGGAATTCCAGGGTGACCAACGCTACACAAAGAAACCCCGTCTCACAAAACAAATATATATATATATATATATATATATATATATATATATATATATAGTTTCTTCACATAAAGAGCTGCTGAGGCAAGTGTCAAATCCAAAAAAGGCGAAGCTTCTCCCTACCATACATTCCCCAAGGTTCCACAAGGTGGAGGATGATGACATGAAGTCCCAGAAGGGGGACCAACAACCAGACATCAGCAGTACCAGCAGCCAAGCTTCTTCCCACTGCGCCTTCTAGTACTGACAGTCAGAGCAACATCCCTGTAAGTACCCCAGACAACTGTCCACCTCAGGAGACAAGGGGCCCACGTGGAGAGGACACCTCTGATGATACGGTCCCTCCTTTAACTACTGCTAAAATGGGAGGGGCTGGGCATGTGCCCAGTAGCTCCTCAGGGTACCTCAGGCATGGGTATGTGACGTCTGTGTACAACACTTGCACTTCCATCCTGAAAGCTGCCCTCTCAGCCATATCCCTAAGTGAGTCCACCATGGAGGAATAGGAGCAGGAGCCGGAAGAGGAGGAAGAGGGAGAGGGGGAGGAAGAGGATGAGGAATACTCAGAAAACTCGTGTAATGTCTGTGCACTGTTCAAAACCAAACAACTTCATAAACTCGCAGGCCACTAAAGATAGAAAACTCACCTTCTTTCTGAAAAGATCCAATTTTTGTTCTTACTGAATAAAAACAGATCTCGTGGTGGTAAATAAACATGTTAAATTGGAGCCTGGGGTCTGTGTGCTACCACCCTGTGTTCTGTTCCCAGGGCCCTGGCTTCCACACCATTCTGTCCTCCCTGCCCTGTCATGGACAGCAGCAGCATTTTTATAGCAGACACACAGGTATGGCTTAACCCTGCCAGAGTAACTTCACACAACTTTGGTATCTTAAAAAAGGGACTGTGTTCTCCCAGGTCCCCAACCCTAGTCAAAGTTACCATGACTTTCCTGAAGTTCATCTAATACTCTGGCTAACAGTCTGCCAAAGGATGACTAACTTCAACTTTATGTTACCTAAGTAATATTTAGGATTCTCTAGGTTAAAAAGTAGCTGGTGATTCTTTGTTGTCTGAGGGGACCTCTCCACAGAACAAGAGCAAGGATGGGCCACTGTTAATTTCCTTCATTCTGTCTTTTCATCACAGATTTATCAGTGCACTGATGTTGACTCAGTGCCTGGTCCCAGACTTGTGAGATGGTTCCCTGGATGCTGGTCATACACTGCATGGGGTTTGACTACAATAAAGACATGGGAAAGGACAAAGGGAGCCCAGACAGTAAACAGTTACCATCAACATATTTATTTGTGCAATTCAATTCAGAAAAGAGCAGGACGAAAGTGAACTTCAGCAAAAAGTCATTTCCTGGCAGTTTTCCTTTTCCCTAAAGGCCAAGGTTCTTGAGGCTTGGAAGCTTTGCTGAAAGAGCCACAGCTGGAGGGATGTCCTCGCTGATACACCCTTGTTTGAGAGCACAGCAGTCTGGATCTGGGAATAACACATAGTGGGCTGTGGTCTGCATGGTAATAATGGCTTAGAGCCACCCTGATACTTAGAGGTTTATACTATAATGGGTTAATTCGCAGGGCCATTATTTAGTTTTTTTTTTGTTTGTTTGTTTGTTTTTTGACACTGTTCTCCAGAGCATTCACTGCTCCATCCTTTCCCCCAAAGGGATCAGGTGCTCTGGGATATCTACCTGGAATATATCCTTACCCCCCTTTCTAGGTATGGGCTCCAGTAACCATCTGGGGTTTGAAATTGGAGTCAGATATTTCTGCTGCAGGTTGGTTAGAACAGCTTGATTTTCCAGTTCCACGACCTCATCGGCAGCTAAGGTTTCTGGGCACTGCAAAGTCTCTCCAATGTCAACAAGTCCTGGGTACCAAGACAGAAACATACAGATGTAGTCTCTTTTATACAGCAAGGATATCTTTATGATGGCAGGATTATTAAGATGGGGTACAACATATCACCAAAATGATAAGAAACAGGGATTTTTCTCACTGAATACTAAGGACACAACCAAATGAACTAGGGAATCATGGGTGCAGCAGTCATAGGCCTTAAGAAAAAGGAGAGAGTGGCTTGTCCTCCGTGACTCCTTGTTTAAATGATAGGTTCTAGCAAACTGCTAAGGCTGGTGTTTATTTACTGAAAGAGTACCAGCCCCAGCCAGGAAGCCTATAATCAGTTAGATTCCTAATTAGGTCACCAGGTGATTGGATTAGATGTTGATTGGTATCTTACCCAGCCCAGGGTCCTTGTGACAGGCATAGGAAGCCAGCAGGCAGTCTTACCCTAGATAAGACTCCACTTTTTCAGTGTCTATGCTGAAGTGTCACAGGCCATGTTTTTTACACATATTCATGCACAAGCTCAATGTTACAAACAGGTACTGACTCGAAACAGGCTTTCATATCACAACACAAACAGGATCTGAGGCCCAGGGTCAAGAGTCACGAGTCTGTAGAACCCAGGCCTATGTATAGCAGCCTAGTTATTCCCACAGGTATTGAGAGGCTGCTTAGAAACTTTAGCCCACAGCCTCTAGTTAAAAGAAAATCAGAGCCTGACTTGAATTGCTTTGAATCCTGTCTGAATTGTCTACTTCATACTTGATACAGCCTCACTTACCTGCTATCACACCTCTGCCATATTTCTCTCCTTCTTGTAGTAAGGTCTGAATCTGTGTCAGGGTCATCCCCAACCTATCAATCAGCACTTCCTGCCAGGCATCATCTTCCCAGTCCTTGTGAGCAATGTGGATGGCGATGGTACATTTCTGATGGCTCCTCAAGAGGGGGCGCCAACGTGTCTCAAGAGTCTTTACTCCATTTAAGATTAAACCAGCATAGGGCTGCCGGAAGGAGAGGCAGGGAAACTTCATTTTCCTCCGAGTCTTTGAGCCTAAACACAGAAGCACATCACAGCTTAGCTCTTCAGGCTCACGCCCTTTAGGCCTCGCCTTCCCCAGTTGTTTCCCATGTGCCCTGAAACTGCACTGAACTTGATCTGCTTCCTGTTACAGGTTAATGGTGCCCTGCTCAAAATCAGGCCCCATGCCAATGGCTGGAATTAGGATGACACATGGTCCATGCAGTCTTTGGGAAGCTCACAGAATAGGACAGAGATAGCTAGAAAAAGGTAAGGGAAGAGCATCGTGGGCGGTGCTGACAGAGGTCACTGGGCCCTAGGGGAACACACAAGAGGGAAGAGCCATCTTGACCTAGTCAGGCTGCGCTTCTGAGTAGGTTGGCTTTAGCACAGAGGGACAATCTTAGCTTTCCTACTCTTTCTTCCTGTCTATGTCACTGTCACCAATGCTCTTTGCTTCCTGGCCCTGTCGTTACAAGTCATATAGGTGTGGAATTATCCAGCTCCAATCTGAGCTAGTGAACAACAATCCTTGAAATGTAAAGTTGATTGACTTTTGGAATTCCCTTTGACCTCAAGTAACCTCACCTGGGTCTCCTCCTGCATCTTGTGGGTGGCATGCTTCTCAAGCCCCTTGTCACATCCCACGACCTGAGCCTAAGGATGTGAACGGTATCACTAAGCACTAGGGTACCAATACTCACACACCTTCTATGTTCTAGTTCCTGAGAATTGCATCCCCAAATGACCCAGCAAGTAAGTATGACTATTATGACCCCTGTATAGTTAAGGGACAAAAGATGCTGGGTGAGAAAGGAATGGCCTAGGGTGGTAATGACCTGACTCTGCACACCTCCTATCCAGTTCCTTCCAGTCCTTATGTGTCCCTTGTGAGAGGCACACTTTGCCTTAGGAACTGATGGAGTCATGCTGAAAGAGACATGAAGTCAGAATCTCAGCTCAGTCTTAGCAAACCACACAATTTCCATTTTCATGTGACTCTAAGTAAGGTACACGAAAGGCCAAGAACACGTTACCTGGGGACAGAGCCAAGGGTGACCACTTTCAACATTGTGACAGCAGAAAACACAGGGGCATTGAACACTGGGCTCCATCCTGGCTCTGCTGTCCACCCATGAACTACCCCCTCCACATTCTATTTTTGGTCTTCCTGACCTTTCTTTAAATACTTAACCTTAGACTCATGGGCCTCCTTCAATTATAAGACATGGCCCTTCCAGGATAAAAGCAGTCTGCCATTGGTCTCTTTCTCCAATCATATTTCAGCTTATCAAGGCTAGCAACACTAACGGTCCTGCTTAGTTTCAACTGTCAACTTGACGCAGCCTAGATTGACCTCAGAAGGCAGTCAATTGAGGGACTGCCCAGATAACATTGGCCAGTGTGGACATCTGTGGGGGAAGTTTGCAATATTCATTATTGTGGGAGGATCCAGCCTACTGTGGGCAGTACCACACTAAGGAATGTGATCCTGGACTGTATATGGAAGTTAGCTAAGTATGAGTATATAGGCAGGGAATCAAACAGCATTCTTGGTTTCTGGTCTTTGGCTGTGAGTGAGCTCCTTGGTCACAAGTAATACTGTGTTGAATAACATACAGGCTTGGCTCCAAGCTTCTCCCTTGAATTCCTGCCCCGACTTCCCCCAATGGCAGAAAATGTAAACTAACATTTTCTTTCCACATCAGATTGGCCTGTGGGAGAAACGCTAAATATTAATTCCTAGGCAGGTGGTCCTGGACTATATAAAAAAGCTAGCTAAGCATGAGCCTGTGAGTGAGTCAGAAAGCAGAGTTCTTCCTTTTAAGTTCCTGCCTTGACTTCCCTCAATGATGAACTGTGACCTGGAAATAAAAGCCAAATAATACCCCCCCCAAAAAAAACTTTTTGTCAGTATTTTATCACAGCCAACAGAATCAAATTGTAACATTCCCTTACATAGCTTTGGGTCATGGTGCTTGTCATAGCAATGAATGAAACTAGAACACTAACCAAGCCAGTTCTTTGTCATCCAGGACCAGTCTATCACACTCAATCTAGGCCCTAGAATGTAGGACCTCCGTCCTGCTAGTCTGCTCTTGTTCAGCATCACTGTTTTGTCATTCCATGAGTGGATGGTTCTGCTTCTGAGAACAGTGGCTGTACACCTTTTAGCACACAATGAAAGTCCCTTCTGTGAGTCACTCATGCCTCCAGGCCTACCCTACCTTCTTTAACAGTGCTCACAGCAGAAATCTAAAAAGACTGGTGCATACACAAGTCTCTATTTCCTCTGACCCTCCCTACCATATGATCCCCCTCCTTTTGTATTCCATCCCCAGACACTCCTCCCAAACCTGGTTTTACAGGGAGAGCAACTGGCCTACGGCAACTCTACCTTAGCATTTCTGGCTGCCCCTCTCCCAGGCTTCCATAATGCTCACTGGCCTGCTCTGGCTGCTATGACATGGCCCACACCTTCCTACTCAGGAGACTGAGCCAAGCTGTTGGAGTTGGGAATTCAACTTCTAAGAACCCAAGTCCACCAGTGTCCCCTATTTTTGTTGCCTAGATGCAGTAGCATGTGTACTTTCCCTTTGCTCCTACCATCGATGGTATACAGCAGCATTGTCTATGAATGCTTCCTTAACATCATCTTCCTACCATTCGCTGCCTTGCCAATAACTATTTTCCAGAGGTGCTGTGCTGTGAAACTTGTCTTCTGCCCTCTACTAGCCACACTGCACTTAGAATGGCCTTGGTACTGAGGTCATCAGCTCATCTCATTCTTTGGTTGAAACCTGTCAAAGGCTCCTGTTCCAACAAGCCCAGAATTTACCCACTTCAGTAGGCCCCTCAGGTCCCTTGTAATTTGGCTGCCCACCCTAGACATCTGTGCTCTTCCCACTTCGTTCATTACCCTGCAGCCAAATCAACGTAGTGCCCTGCTGTAGGGCACTGCAGACAAGCCTGCTCTGTGAATGAAGAAGTTCCCTCTTTGGCTTGTCTTCACTTCTCTACCTGCACAAGCAGAAGGTAGGTAAGGAGAGAAAGTAAAAGTGAAAGAGAGTTATGTTGGCTATTGGCTGGACAAAAGGCTTCTACTCAGCAAGTTTTAGGGATCAACAATTAGGGCTTATCTCACAGAAAACACACACATACATCTCACTCAGAGCTTGATTCAAGGTCCCTTTCCGGCGGGGACAAGGACCACTTGATGCAGACACTTAATTCTGCAAGTGGCTCACATTATTACAAGCATGCATGATCTAGCAGGAGAAAAATAATGTTGCACAGAAGGTGGTTGCATGGAAATGTCCAGGTATACCGAACCCCAGTGCTTTCAATGTTATTGGTAGATGAGACTGAGCATAATACTAAAAGTCACAGTTCAGCACCCCTCACAGTCTGGGATCTCAGTGAGTTAACAGCCTAAAAGTAAGGAGGGACTAGTGCCTGTGGAACAGCATACGTGGTTGCCGTCCACCTGCATCCACACTTCAGAGAGACAGTGAGATGCTGGCAAGATGGGGCAGGCAAAGACCAGCCTTGGGATGGCCCTGATGGGTTACGAGTTGCACAGTCAGGGAAGCGGAGTCTGGGGTACCTTCACTTGGGATGGGGAAAGCTCACAGGCTCTGACCCAGAGGGTAGCTGTCCTTTGCCTGCTGTGGGTCTCTTCAGCCTTACCGCTTAACACTCAGCCGACTCCAGTTTACAGCACAGTCCTCCAACTTCCAGCGTTCCGGGAGGATTCCAGTACCAATGGCTCCTAAGCGTGGGTGGCTAACATTGGTTCAAAATAAAAGAAAGCATTTGACTAGTGCCGACCAACGTTCTGGCACTTTAACTGCTTCAAGTAGATTGACAAATGCGGGGACAATCCCCGCCCCTACGCACACAATCTTGCGTAAGCACGCACACTATATCCATTTACGTGCTAAAATGTTCACAGCCAATTAAAACTACAGGCACCATTCGTGTATCAGGGATAGGAAGATACGGACTTACGTAACTCAGCAGTAAACCACACTGGATGTTGGGACTTACTGGTTTCTTAAAGCAATCAGGCAGATAAAGCAGGGAAAGGGTCTGTAATAGGTGACTGGGAAGGGGAAAAATGAGAAAAGGAATCGGGGGTTGAATCAGATGAGCCTGCAAAAACACAAGGAATTAGGAGCAGGGTGCGCTGCAGCAGGAGGTGCAAGGTGGGAACTGTGAGGTAAGAAGCTTATTGAGGAGGGGCTTGGGAAGAGCTGTGAGCTCTGAGGTTAGGGATTGGGGCGGGGCGGGGCGGGGCAGGGTGGGGCTGGGCTGGGCTGTGAGCACCTGGTATCAATCAGTTGGTGCAGTGAAGAATCACTTGGGAACAGATGGTATTGCCAGTGCTTGCAGTCTGGGCAGGGCAGTAATCGGAGTTTGGCGGAGTGTTAGTGCTGGGCTGCCTGCATGAGTGAGGCTACTGGGAAACTGTGGTGGGACTTCGGATCCCAACTTAATTTGGCCCAGATGTGCTTAAGGAGAAGGAAGGGATTGTACATAATGAAATGGCAGGAGTGGGCCAAACTGTGAATGCTTAGCAAGGTGGGAAGGGCCTCAAAGTACCAGCCAGGTCTGTGAGTGGAGGGATACGTTGACAGAGCGTAGCTTTGTTTGGATCCTGGCATTTGTGATGGAGGGCTACAGGAGGAGGAGGGAATGCCTGTGTTTGCTGAATTAGGAATGGTGGGCGATGCTGTGTATGCTGAGGTAGAGGTTGGTGGCGGGTCCGTGATTGGTGAAGTATGAAGTAGGAATAGAGCTTTGGTTGGTAACGTCATAAAGGCCCAGGCAATATTTCAGATGAACTTCCTTGAGCTACCAGGTATAAACCTCACATAGGGCAAGGCATACACTACCTCTGTTGAATTATTTCCCTTTTTTTCTGGACCCAGAACACAGCAGTAGGTCACTTGGGGGATGCGCTTTGGGTTCATTCAAGTATCTCCATGTTGGGATACTGCAGTAGCGCCTCTCTTCTGGACCTGAATACCTCAGCAGTCACCAGATATAGGTCTGAAAACGGGGATAGCGGCTGAAACAAAGCAGAATGCTGGCTGGTTTGTGGGAGTAGCAGCCCTCATGCAACTTCCCTCCCTCCCTCCCTCCCTCCTCATTCTGGATATGAGTGTTGGCCTTGTGTTCTGTGTAGCCATAAGGAAGCCACATTGACATTTCATGTGTCAGCTGTATGTACAGCTAACCTGTGGTTCTGGCTGCTCAGTGTTGTTCAGTGTTACATCTGACCTTTTCTTTTGCTGTAATTGCTGTGAAGAATAGAAGTGGGAGCAGGAAGGGACTACATCCTGGACATGCCTTGTCTTCATTGAGAGGTTTTCTATCAGGTGGTCCTTCTGGCTCTAAGGACAGTTTTCTTGCTCTCTGAAACCATTGTTGCAGAATGTACTCTGAGCACTCTTTAGGAACCTAACACCTTTGCCTTTTCCAGACTCATCTGTTGGGTTTAAGTACAAAAATGTACTTCCCTAAGCCTACATCATTTCTTTTCTGCTGTCATTATGAAGGCCTTTCAAGCCTGTTCAGTGTGGACAATTGTTTATTGCTTCCAGACTCATGTGCCTTCAGCAATCCCTGATATCCGTGTCGGATAATGAAGACTTATTTCCCAATTAGTAACCCCCCCAAGTCCCTTATGTCACATTATTCTGCAAAGCCCCTGCTTAGCACCATTTATTCCCATCCTATGTTGATATCTTGCCCATATTGATGTCTCTTACGAGTGTCATCTCTCTCCTGCCTTACTGTGTGCACCCTTTTTCATATTGTGCTGGACCTTCACTCTGAGTATGGCTTGGTAGCAGCTTCTCTGACCCTTCTTGATTGATCTGAAACAAGCTTAGCTTTAGCATTGCAATTCTAACACTCATCAGAAATGGGCAAACACCCTCTAAGAGACAGGTGGGGTTGTCTCACTTGAGGGAGGTCCTCTATGGAGAGAATAATTACACAATGTTTGCATCTCTCAAATGGGTGGGGTATACTGTCTTATGGGAAAGGGAGAGGGGAAGTCAGGTTCAAAAGTTTCAGAGGCATGTGGGGTATGGAATACTCAGAGGCCTGTCTCTACCATGTGCCACTGTCCTAAAGCTAGGGCATAGGCTTCACAGAAATGGCTGCTTCCTGAACCCATGGCTATCTTTGTTCTGTAGATAACTATAAGAACTTTTGTTTGCTTCATATTTTGCTGCAGGCCTATCCCGGAAATGTAGACAATACTGTAGGCTGGAAGAGATGATTCCTCATTAAAAGCCTCTGAGTCAACCCCTGTGAGTCACCACAGCAGCATAGACACCAGCACCCTTCTCTGGTGTCATTGGAGATGGCATTCCTAAGTGTCCCAAGTATCTGGAAGTCCTCCTCGGCAGCAAGTTTTTCTGCCTGTCCACAGGACAACCCTTCTGGCAAGTCTGTACCAGAGGTCTAGCAACCTGGCAGCCTTATTATGCCTGTGGCTGACTGTGTGCCAATTAATCCTCATCACTGCCTGTGTAGATTCAGGGAGCTTATTGACCGAGCCTCTGCTTGCCTAGATCTCTGGAAGCAGGTGTGTCACCTTGGGTCAACCAGTAAGCCCAGGACTAGGGAGCTAGTAGAGCTGCGTTTTTATTCAGATCCACCTCCCACAGATATAACAGGAAGGAGCAGAATTGGAAAGGATGGGACCCAACATGACAGTCTTGGTCAGGCAGGCCGGTGCACAACAAAATTGGCTCTCACCGCCTGGAGTTGGTGGAACACGCCTTTAAGCTCAGCACTTGGGAGACAGAGACAGGCAGATTTTTGTGAGTTCAAGGCTAGCCAGGTCTACTGAGCTACTTTCAGAATGGCCTCCAAAGCCACAGAGAAAACCTGTCTCGAAACACCTGAAAACAAACAAACAAACAAACCAACAAAACCAAAGAAAGCAAAAAAATTGCTCTCCCACTCATACTGTGGAGGTGACACATCCCTGTAGCACCTGAAACAAGGTGGGCCCTGGGGGCCATAATGACAGACAGACTGACTGTGTGAACAAATGAATGACGCGTGCTTTGGAAAGGAAAGTATCAGCAGAGAAGCACACGGATGCAGCACAGTCTTCATACAACAGATTCACCTTTTACCCCAAGGTGCCCTTTGCCCCAGATCGCGTTTCCTAGGAGATGCTTCCACCTGCCCAGTGTGTGTTAGTCAGCTGTCTGGATGGTAACGACTTCCATGGTAAATACTTACAGGGCATCTGGACATCTGTTAGCATGTGGTGGGGTGCACAGCCTGCTGGGAGAGAGCGTGTTGTCCAGCATCAAGGCACACCACAGAGTGCGATGAGCAGACACCGGCCTGTCTCACTCTCTGCGGGTGCATCTCACCCCTACACTGAACACAGGCTGCTGGGTGGGTTGTCTTCTTGATCTTTCAATAATGTGACTTCAGCAGAGGGAGCAGGAGTTAGGAATGTGAAGGACTTGAACCATGGACAGAGAGCTCTCAAGGCCCCACAGAAGAGGTCACTCCAGGTGGCTCATGAGGTCCAGTGGAGCTTCAGCAGGGCCCAACCCGAGATGGTTTCTAGAGACTGAGGACCAAGGATGGAGCAGACTCATTCATGTGTGAAACAAGGTGGTGGCAGCGAGGGCCAGAAAATCGGATGGGCTTCAATTCCTCTAGAAGCATGGGCCAGACTAAGGTCTGTCCTTGGTTTTCACAGTGATGGCGAACAGTCACTTGTTTCTCTGATGAGGTTTTGATCCTGGGCTCATTTGGTTAGTCAGCCTCTGAGTGACCTTTGCGTGCCTCTGATGCTCCCCGAGTTTGACTGGAGAGCCACGGGAGGATGAGCTACAGCCCCATGAGGGTGTGTGGGCAGGACTCTGCTACTTGCTTCACCTCCTGCTGTACCTGGAACATGCCAGAGTATCTGCTGCAAAGTCAGAAGGCATGGTGTGGGTTTGCCCACATGGCCTGAGCTGCCGCTGTGCTGAGGACAAGGCTGGATGCAATCAGATAGTCCCCGACCAACTGCCTCTAAACAGGAGAATCGGTGGTGGTGAATAAAAGATGATGAGGGAGGGTGGCCTTGAATGTGTGTAAATGATGTTTGCAGAAAGCTGTAGGAGAAAGGCCCTCTGGATGGATGAACTGCACTTGCTAGAGGTTTTCCACGGTCTTGAGCAGGACATTTCCTTATAGTGCCTGCCATCTGCTGGTCTGGTGCTTTAACTTCACTGTCCATTAAAGACAGAGGGCAATCTGAGGCAGGGTGAGTGAGCATATTCTATGGCAGAAGTTCTATCATGTTTAGGGAGCAGGAGGAGAGGTCGGGGTGCTTTACCCCCTGGGTGAAACCTTGTGAGACATTTCCTCTCCACTCCCCCAGGCTCCTCCCTCCTTCACCTCCCCTGTGGGCTCCAGGATTTCAGATGAGAAGCACCAGTCAAATTGGTTCAGGAATGTGTATATAGGATCATTCCTCGTGTACTGCTTGGCCGATACTTTTCCTTTGTTCTCAGAGCTTTGTGTGGTTTTGTTGTGGGTTTATTTGCTGTAGGTTTATCATTCTGTTTCAGGCGTGCTGAGGTTCTGTATCTGTTTCAGGCTGGCCCAGCTTCTGATATGTCCTTGGACAGTTTGTTCTTTTTGTAGTGTGCTTAGTACTAGACACAGCCCTCAGCTTCTGGAGGCCCTGTGAAAGAGACATTGGACTTCTCTCTATAATCTTACATGTCTCTGAAGCTCTGCCACGTGTTATGCTGTGTGTTAACATAGGATCTCAATTTTTTTAGGGTGAATCCT